GCCCCCCTCCAGCATCGCTGCATCCCCCTCCCCAGCATTGCTGCATCCCGCCAGCATCGCTGCAACCTCCCGCTGCACCCCCAGCCCCGCAGCTGCCGCGCCGGCACCGGGACCCCCCACCCCATGGTGCCACTGTCCCTGTCCCCCCGCTTGCACGGATCCCCTTCCCACGCCACAAATGCACCGGGATAGGGGGGGAGCGGCGGTGCGGAGTGATGGGGAGCGCGAGGCCGGGAAAATATAGGATCTAACCAGCTTCCCAAGCCCGGAAAGTTGGGAGTGACTCAGTCCCATGTGGGGGAGGGCTGCGTCCCATGGGGAGCAGGAGAGTGCCCCCCCCCACTAGCGCTGACCCCCCCTTCCGCTCTCCCACGCTCCCGGGTCCCTGCGGATGCGCAGGGCTGGAGTCGGGAAGCGGAGCCGGGGGAGCCCCTGGAGCGGGGGGGGTCGGGGGGGGCAGTGCCAGGGCTACGTGCGGCTGGGCAGGGAGCTGGGAAGGAGGGAACGGGGCGGGGGCGGGGGGGGGTGTTTGGTTTGGCCGGAGCCGGGAGCCGCAGCCGGCGCCATCGGGACGTGCCGGGCAGCAGGCGCCTGTGGGGCACAGGGAGCACCCAGACCCCCACAGGGTCTTCCCGCAACCCTGGGGGCTCCAATCGCCCCCCCAGGCAATGAACACATGTGGAAAAGGAGGCTGGAAAGGGCCCGTCCCAAAGAACCGATAGGGAAAACGAGGCTGGAAAAGGCTCGTCCCGAAGAATCGACGTGGAAAATGGGGCAGTAAAGGGCCTGTGCCAAAGAACCCACGTGGCAAACGGGGCAGGAAAGGGCCTGTCCCAAAGAATCGGCATGGAAAATGAGGCTGGAAAGGGCCCATCCCAAAGAAGCGACATGGAAAAAGGGGCAGGAAAGGGCCCATCCCAAAGAACCAACGGGGAAAACGAGGCTGGAAAGGGCCCGTCCGCCCCCTTCGCATGTCCCTCCCGTCCCCACACAGCTCCCCAGCTTGCCCTGGACCCAGTTTTATTGGGGACCCCTCCTGAGCGCCCCCGGCGCCCGGGTGCCCAGGACGGGGCCGCCACGCGGAACGGTCCCTTCCCGCTGCTGCGTCTTGGTCCCTGCATCCCGGGGGTGCCCCGTCCCGCGTCCCCCAGCAGCACCGAAGGCGCTGGGGGGGGTCCAAAGCGGGGAGCCCCCCGTGGTTTCGGTGCCGCCCGCGGTTCCCGGGAGGTGCCCGGCTCAGCGGTCGGAGAAGCCGGGCATGGGGAAGGCGCCCGCGAAGGTCTCCACGCGCCGGCGCAGCTCGGCCAGGCGCCGCTGCGTCGCCGCGTCCTGCAGCAGGAAGCTCCTGAAGTCCTGCAGCTTCTCTGGAATTTGGGGGGGGGGGAAGAGGGTGAGGGGGGTGTCACACGTGTGTCCCCAAGCCCCTGTCCCCGTCCCGCTGGATGCTGCTCACTGGTCTTGCTCTTGACGTCCAGGGCCAGCTCGATGGCCTCGTCGATGAAGGCCACGACCTGGTGGAAATCGGCCTCCTGGAAGCGGCGGGAGGTCAGCGCGGGGGCACCTGGGGACACGGAGACGTCAGCACGGGGGACACGTCCATGCGGGGCCGGGGGACACCCTGGTGACCCCCCCGGATGACACCCCCAGTGTGGGGGTGGGTGACACCCCCCGTGTGGGGCCAGGGGATACCCCCCATATGGGGCTGGGTGACACCCTCATGCGGGGCCGGGTGACACCCCCCATGCAGGGCCAGGTGTCACCCCCTGCACAGGGCCGGGTGACACCCCCATGCGGGGCTGGGTGACAGCGACACCCCCGCGTGGGGCCGGCGCTCACCCAGGCGCAGCCCGCCCGGCGTCAGGGCGCTGCGGTCGCCCGGACACGTGTTCTTGTTGGCCGTGATGGAGACGAGCTCGAGGACGCGCTCGGCCCGCGCGCCGTCGATGCCCTTGGGCCGCAGGTCCACCAGCACCAGGTGGTTGTCGGTGCCGCCTGCGGAGCAGCAGAACGGGGCGCTTGGGGACACGGCGGCACTTAGGCAGGGCGCCTGGGGACGTGGTTCAACAGGCTGAAGGGCTCGCGGGGAGACTCAATCACTGAATCACGGAATGGTTGAGGTTGGAAGGGACCTCTAGGGATCATCTAGTCCGACCTTCCTGCTCCAACAGGGACACCCAGAGCACGGGGTGGCACCCAGGTGGGTTTGGGGACCTCCAGAGCAGGAGCCTCCCTGGGCAGCCTGTGCCAGGCTCGGGCACCCTCACACCAAACAAGTTCCTCCTCACATGGACATGGAGCTGCCCGTGTTGCAGCTTGCACCCACTGCCCCTTGTCCTGTCCCTGGCCACCACGGAGAATCTTGAACCAATCTTGAAGGGCATTTCCAACCGTGAGGTGATTGCAGGGAAGGGCTCCGCGGCGTCCCGCGGTGCCACCGCGTCCCCCTCACCTGACACGAGCGTGTAGCCGCGCTGCAGCAGCGCCTGCGCCATGGCCTTGGCGTTCCTCAGCACCTGCTCGCAGTACTGGCGGAAAGCGGGCGAGCTGGCCTAGGGGGGACAGCGCCGCGTCACCCCACGGGGACCCGCGCGCCGTCCCCGCCGCAGCCCCCACGCACCTGCTTGAGGGCCACGGCCACGGCGGCGATGGCGTGGTTGTGCGGGCCGCCCTGCAGCGCGGGGAACACGGCGAAGTTGATCCTGTCCTCCAGGTCGTAGCGCGTCTCCTGGCCCGTGCGGGCGTCCACGGCGCGCACGCCCTTGCGGTAGAAGATGAGCCCGGACCTGGTGCCAACGGGAGGGCTCGGAGGCGCCGGGCACCCTGGGGACCCCCCGTTCCTCGCGGCGCCCACAGGTGCCGGCGCTCACCTGGCGCCGCGCAGCGTCTTGTGCGTGGTGCTGGTCACCACGTCGGCGTGCTCGAAGGGCGAGGGCACCACGCCGGCGGCCACGAGGCCGCTGATGTGCGCCATGTCGGCCAGCAGGTAGGCGTTCACCTCCTGGCACACCTGGGTGCGGGGCGGCGGAGGTGTGGGGTGAGGGCACCACAGGGTGCAGGCGCTATGGGGGGCATTGCGGGGTGCAGCGGCCATGGGGTGCATAGTAGGTAGGGGCACACCCAGGTGCAGGTGCCATGGGGTGCATAGGGGGTGACGGCACAGCTGGGTGCAGGTGCCATGGGGTGCACTGGGGCTGGGGGCACACTTGGGTGCAGGCGCCACAGGGCATATGCAGTTAGGGGCACAACTGGGAGCAGGTGCCATGGGGTGCATGGGAAAAGGGGCACACCGGGGTGCAGGGGGTACCTGCCGCATGCGGGCGTAGTCGATGAGCCGGGCATAGGCGCTGGTGCCGGCGACGAGCAGGCGCGGGCGGAAGAGCCGTGCCGAGCGCTCCAGCTGCTCGTAGTCGATGAGTCCCGTGGCCGGCTGTGGACGCGGCCGTCAGCACCCGGGGGTGCCCGCGGGACCCGGGGCCGCCAACGGCGCCCGCCGCGGCACCCCCCGCGCCACCCGAGGCCGCCCCGCCGCTCACGTCCAGCTTGTAGGGCATCGACTCGAAGAAGATGGAGGTGGCCGAGATGCGCTTGGTGTCCGTCATGTAGCCGTGCGTGAGGCTGCGGGGGGCAGCGGGGTGAGCGCGCGGGCGGCCCCACGGCCCCGAGCCCGCTGCCCCCGCACGCACTGGCCGCCGTCGGGCAGGTCCAGCCCCATGAGGCGCTCGTGGGGCCGCAGCAGGGCCGTGTAGGCGGCGAAGTTGGCCGGCGAGCCCGAGTAGGGCTGCACGTTGACGCCCCAGCGGGCCGGGTCGAGGCCGAAGGCCTCCAGCGCCCGCCGCGCGCACAGCTCCTCGATCTGGTCCACGACCTCGGAGCCCCCGTAGTACCTGCGTGGGGAGCAGGGTGGCACTAGGACCCATGGGGGGCAGCCCCCATGGACCCCCGCGGACCCCCGCAGTACCTCCTGCCCGGGTAGCCCTCCGAGTACTTGTTGTTGAGGCAGGAGCCGAGCGCCTCCAGCGCCGCCCGGCTGCAGAAGTTCTGCGGGACACGGGCGCGGGTGAGCGGGGGGCGCGGGGGGCGCCCGGCCCCGCGGGGGCCGCCCCGCACCCACCTCGGAGGCGATGAGCTCCAGCCCCCGGCACTGCCGCTGCTTCTCCTGGCGCAGCAGGGCCCACAGCTCCGGGTCGCTCTCGGCCAGGCTCTCCTGGCCCGTCCAGGCGGGCGCCGCCGCGGGCGGTGCTGGGCGCGCAGGCTGCCCACGGGGCCGCAGCGCTGCAGGGCCTGCGCGGGACACGGAGCTCGGACCCGACACCCCAACACAGGGTTAGGGTTAGTTTTTAGGGTTAGGGTTTAGGGTTAGGGTTAGGGTTAGGGTTAATGGTTAAGACTTAGGGGTTAGGGGGTGGGGTTAGGGTTTAGGGTTAGGTTAGGGGCTAGGGTTTAGTGTTTAGGATTAGGGGTTAGGGTTAAGGGTTAGGATTAGGGGGTGGGATAAGGGTTAGAATTAGGGGTTGAGGTTAGGGTTAGAGTTTAGCGTTAAAGTTAGGATTAGGGGTTTAGGGGTTAGAGATAGGGATTAGGGGTTAGGGTTTACTGTTGGGGTTAGGGTTAAGGTTAAGGCTTAGGGTTAGTCCCAGCCCTGCACAGGGTTAGTCCCAGCCCTGCACAGGGGCTCAAACTGGGGCCCGGTGCTGGTCCCGGGGGCAATGGGCGGGGCTCCCGG